GGGCTGACACACACGCCTTTAATCCCAGTACTTAGGAGAAGGATGCAGGCAGATCTCTGTGAGTACTAGGTCAGTCTGCTCTACAGAGTGAGATCCAGTACAGACAATCCCTGTCCTGAAAAAAAAAAAAAAAAAAAAAAAAAAAACCAAGAAAGAAAGAACTAGATGGATTGAATTTTGGTGAAATAAGGACTTGGGAGGAGGTGGCTGGAAGATCAGGAGGTCAAGGCCATTCTTGGCTCCTCTTTGAGTTAATGGTCAACACTGACATCTAAGAAATGTTTAGTCACTCAACTCAAGGAACTAGGTGAACTCACACCAAAGTAAAATGAAAGAAACAAACCACAAAGGAGTAAAATGAAACAGTCACAACAGAACCTTAACACCAACAGGGTCCAGCACAGAGAGGAAACGCTTTCCTTAGGAAAGAGGCTTAGAGGTGAAAGCCATACTTAGGGCAGGAACATGTAATTAAATCATCACCCAGGGGCTGAAACACCTTAACATTTCCATAGTTTCAGGCTGGACTTGGATCTTATAAACCACTAGTAATGTTCCACAAGTACAAATACCCAACCCTGACCTAGGACAGAAGAAGTCAAGTAACCTTCCATGCAAGGCTCCTTTGTCGTTTTATTTTGTGCCCTTCCTGTTTGTTTATTTGGTTTTGGTTTTGAGAGAAGGTGCTTCTGTGTAACAGCCCTGCCTGTCTGGTAGTTACTTTGTAGACCAGCTGTCCTGGAATTGACAGAGATCCTCCTGCCTCGTCTGGTCTCTGCCTTCTGAGTGCTGGGATTAGAGGTGTGTCTGACCAAGTCCTGCTTGCTTTGCCCTTACTAATGTTAGCTATCTTCCAGTTTGTTACACTGTGGCCAACACTGTGCTCAGTAGTGATTCTATGACGTTTAACATTTTTGTACCTCAATATTGATAGAAGTTTGAGAAAGCTTTATGCATATGAAAAGGTTTTTTTTTTTCAGGTTTTTGTGACAAGGTATATCTGAACCATGGGAACCTAATGATTGCAGGAGAAGGGGAATTAGATCTTCAAGAGATGAGTCCCATTAATGGTTGTCCAGAGCAGAATTCTCTGCCTTGAATCTACACACACACATACACACACACACACACACACACACACACATAAATGAAAGTGGACTCAGCAGGCTGTATCTGTCTATATTAGCAAATACAAGTAAATACACATGTATATATGTAGTAATGAAAATTTTAAAGAGTCTATCAACTTAAGGTTTATGTGATAGAAGGTTGGAGAGAGGCTGGCTGGGAGGAGGAAAACGGTAAATTGCACTCCACTTCAATTAAAAATGTATTTAAAATCTTGATTTAAAAAAGGTGTTTTCACAGGGCAGTGATGGCACATGCCTTTAATCCCAGCACTAGGGAGGAAGAGGCAGGCTGATGTCTGCGAGTTCTAGGCCAGCCTGGTCTACAGAATGAGTTCCAGGTTAGCCAAGGCTATACAGAAAAGCCCTGTCTCAGAGAGAAAGAAAAAGGAGGAGGAGAAGAAGAAGAAATTTTTGCTGGGCGGTGTTGGTGCACGCCTTCAATTCCAGCACTCAGGAGGTAGAGGCAAGCAGATCTCTGTGAGTTCAAGGCCAGCCTGGTTTACAAGAGCAAGTACCAGGACAGCATCCAAAATCACAGAGAAACCCTGTCAAAAAATATATTTTCTTCTTTTGATTTCTAGAGTTCCATGACACATGTTTCTCCAGATTCAGAGCAGTCTCAAGACCGGAGGATGAGGTTTTCATCTTCCCATTTGCTCAAGTCTCTGAATAGCCATGCAGAGGGTTATAGTGTTATAGAGGATACTGTGTATAAAAGGTCACTAGGTTCCACAGTGGAGATGAGTTGCTGTTTCAGTTTGGTATGAATCTTCCTCCTGATCCATGTATCAGAACACTTGATCCCCAAGTGGATGGCTCTTTTCATAGGTCATAGATTCTTTGAACATGGAGTCTAGAGCCTAGGGGGTAGGGTAACAGGAACAGAGCAGGCAGGTTTTATTGCTGGTCTTACAACAGGGATGATCCTCGGCTACCATGTCTCTTTACATTGAAACCAACTGCGAACTAAAATAGGTCCTTTTCCTCTGAGTCATTTCAGGCCAGGTATTTGGATCCAGTGAGGAGAAAAATTATATTGTACAACCCCTGGGCAGCTGAACTGACCCCAGGACTTCTGAGATTGTCTACTATTTCTCTTCTTTGAAAAGGATATGGTAGTTATCGCTCTGAGGAAGAGAACAAGTTCAGCCAGGACCAGTCTCAGAGCAGAGATGGCCAATCTTTTGTGCTCAGCATTGAGCTTCATTGGGAAGGGGCGTGGTTTGTTTGAGGCAATTTTCTGCAGCCCAGCGCTCAGACAGCTCATGGCTATCTTTGAACTGCACAGTAGGGCCAGCAAGACTTTAACTGAGGAACAAAAGCCTCGAGTCTTCAAGCATGTGTTACATAAAAAGCTTCATCTCCCCCCCCCCACACTGCCCACACGGGGCCCAACAGGGGTCCGCTGCTCCCTGTGACTTCTCTCTTTGACTTGCCCCCATGATGTTAACTCTGTACCCTGTGCTGCTCTCCCTTGAAGGAGGGTTAAATGAGTTCACCAGACCCAAGGTAATGATAACCAGTGTTTTATTGGGAGAACAGTTACACAGATGAGAATAAATAACCACCGAGGCCTTCCTGCTCCAGAGGTTGCAGTCTGTGCCCTTCTGATGATCTCTGCAACCCAGGAGAGCGTGCTCCTGCAGCTCCTCTATCCTAAAGGGTCACCATCCACACACGAAACCACTACAAATTACGCCATTACACTCCCAGGCTTCAACCTCTCTGCACCCTTTCCCAGCAGACCGGCTTCCATCCCCTGCCCAGGCAGGAAAGGCTTTTGCATGGGGAAGGAGTGGAGAACCAGGCTTTGCGGCTCTTTTGAAAACTTGAGGCAGCCATGAGGGTTTCTTCTTTCTCCTTGCTTGTTTTACATGAGCAGCCCACTCCGGACCACACTGCCGGCCCACGCCATCTCCAGTGGTCTTCCACTGCTGCAATTGGAGACGGGTCCTCCTCAGAGCTAGAGCTACCATCCCCTTTCCCCAGGAGGGGCGAGACCCTGAGCTCACAGGGGCTGTGGTACTGTCTCCAAGCAGGCCCAGGTGTGAGGTGTCAGTCTCTGTTCAGACCCTATCACTAACAGACAGGGGATGTGAGAAGTGCCCGCACCTCCAGGGACTCATAACGGAGTCCCAGCTAACGGGAGACTCATTTGATGGCAAAACCTGGGGGTGTGCCTGCTTCCCGCCCTTTGCCAGCAGGCACACAGCCTGATACCCCCCCATACACCCTTACATAAGAAGAGTTGTGTCATTCCAGCTGATTGGACTGCAACTTGATATGATCTCATGTGACTGGGCAATGCATACATATATGCCAGTGAATATACACATTAAGCCCCATCTGCACCTCAATGCTGGTCTCTGGTTTCTACTTCCTGGGAAAATTCTCTTAGATCCACCTCCCTCACCCATCCTGAACCATGCCATCAGTGACAGACAGCAAAACAGGTGAAGCTTGGGGAGGGGTCCAGCTCAGAGTCTCAGGGCCACCCAGTGCTGGCTGGTGGGGGGGGAAGAGGAGGAGAGAGCTGGTCCACAGCAATCCTGGGTGGAGGGAGCTGGTCCACAGCAATCCTGGGTGGAGGGAGCTGGTCCACAGCAATCCTGGGTGGAGGGAGCTGGTCCACAGCAATGGGGGGGGGGAGCTGGTCCACAGCAATGGGGGGGGAGCTGGTCCACAGCAATGGGGGGGGGAGCTGGTCCACAGCAATGGGGGGAGCTGGTCCACAGCAATGGGGGAGGGGAGCTGGTCCACAGCAATGGGGGGAGCTGGTCCACAGCAATGGGGGGAGCTGGTCCACAGCAATGGGGGGAGCTGGTCCACAGCAATGGGGGGGGAGCTGGTCCACAGCAATGGGGGGGGAGCTGGTCCACAGCAATCCTGGGTGGAGGGAGCTGGTCCACAGCAATGGGGGGAGCTGGTCCACAGCAATGGGGGGGGGGAGCTGGTCCACAGCAATGGGGGGGAGGGGATGGGGGCCAGGACAGGTGGTATCCAGTCTAAGGTAGGGACTTATTGGAGGATCCCAGTCCTGGGGAGACACAAGCGCCTCCCCTCCTTTCTAGCACCCCAAATACAAACAAACCAAAGTAACCCACCACACTTCAGTTAGAACTAATACCTTTATTGGGTCTGCTTAGAGAACATGGGTGAGGGCCAGCTAACAAGATAGTGACCTGTCACCCTAACCTGGACAACTCATAGCTCCATGGCTGGGGCCCCCACTCTGTTAACTTCCCACACTGTAGCACCCGAGGCTAGGAGACAGTTGTGGCGGAATTACAAGAAATACCCGGAAAACACAGCAGAAACAGTCCATCTGCCTCTCCTCTTCACTGCTTCTAGGCCAGAGAGTCAAGTCAGTGCATTGATCTGGGGGTCACTGGCAGGCCCTTCCAGATGTTCTGAAGGTAGTGCCAAATGCCGGGTGTCCCCAAAGCTGCCTTCTTCGGGAGGTTCAAGTCAACAGCCACATTCAAGGGTAGGAGGCATGGGGCATGCTCAGAAATGTGTCACTTCCTTTCATTGAGTTTAGCTCCCACCTAGAATTAGTGTATGGCAGGGTAATGGAGGGAAGGGATCCTTTGACGCACGGTTCCCCAGCCTGGAGGCAAATCTGTTGCAGTCTCCCATGAGGACATCTGTGGGCACTTGTCATCACAGCAGGTGTGGCCTACCTCTACAACCACATGAAGACTCACTCCATCCAGGGGGCCCATCCCCCAGGACCTATCTATCTAAGCTACCAAGGCCCCAACCTTGACACTACAGTCACAGGGAGCATCCATTCTCTTCATCAAGCGCACAAGACACTGCAGATGCAACCTTTGCATCCGTTCTGAGGGTTCAGGCACCATGTGCAAATTAAAAGGTGACTAAAAACCCAGATCCAGTTTCATTTGCCAACATATTGGACAGCAGTTGGTTCGGATGACTAGGAAGGTCCACTGGTGGCCAGAAGGTCTCAGGGGAAGGAGGTGAACAGTGTCCACTTAGTTCAAGTCCATCTCCGTTGAGCGGCAGGGAGATTTTGGGGGTCCCATTCAAGATTCTACAGGCCTGTGAATGCTGTGAATGGTCCATGGCTTCAGCATCAGCAGCATCCACGAGGCTCGCAGAGGCCCCCGAAGCTTGGGTGGAGAATCTTCTCACTGGCAGTGTGAATTGAGGGTCCAGAAGCTTGGATGTTGAAAGGCACAGGGGCTCAGAGCTCACCCTAGCATAAGGGCTGCTGTTGCAGGCTCTGCCTACCCGATTTCTGAGGAGGGGTCTTGGACGGGGATGCCTCCGGGTCAAAGTAGAGGTCCCCTGAACCAGTGTGTGGGTCCCGAGGATCAGTTCTTGCTTAGGGCTTGAGGTCACCTCCAGGAAGTCCACAGTTCCATAACCGCCTTCCTGTTTGCACAGTTTACTTTGCTCAGGCTGCAGGATCCGCACGAAGGCGTCCATAGAGAAGCTCACCCTGGCCTCCCCACAGCTGCACTGAGTCGCCACCTTGCCATAGTCAATCCACCTCGGGGTGGCGAAATTGATGGCCTCTGCACAGTTGAAGCCGTGGTTGAAGCCAGCGTGGTAGCCGTAGGGAAAAGTGACCATGAACTCCCCAGCCTCCTGCGTCATGCGACCAAAGGGGATGCCATTCTCCTTGAGCACGGTGGGTGAGATGAGCGCCACCTTGTGCCTCAGGAAAGCCTGGCAGCCCTGGGAGCTGCCCGGGAACAGCTGCCTGGCCAGGTGCTCCAGACGCCGGCCGTGCTCAGGGGGCACGGCGTACCATGTCTTGGGCTGCCCAAAGTGTAGGTAGTTGATGCTGTACAGGTCCATGTCCTCCGTGTGCCACGCGAAGGTGGTCTTCCACATGCCGAAGTACAGGTAGGGCGTGTTCACGCCCTCGATCACAATGCCGCATTCCTGCTTCAAGAGGTCCAAAATGCTTCCCAGGTGTCCCACGTTCCAGTGTTGAGTGTTCTCATCAAACAGGGAGCCGCTGACATCTGCACCATAAATTGGTGACCCGAAGAGACGATTCTTCCAGTATTTTCTCTCCAAATCTTCAAAATTCAAGTGTGGCGGGGTCCTGTATTTTTTACTGTTGGCCAGGTGACGGTACTGGCCAACTGTCATGGCTTTCTTCTTCTTATGGTATTGAGTGAACACACCTGCTTGTCCAGAGGCCACTTGCTCCAGGGGAGTGGCTATTAAGATGTCACTGTGGTCCTCATAGGACTGCCTGGCTCTCCACTCCTTGGGTGGGATGACCTTGGCCAGGCCAGCTCGGTGTGCCCCTTGGGATTCCATGTAGGCAATGTACTTGTTGAAATCTGAAAATTCTCTCATGGTTGGGCGGAAAGTCATGATGGTATTGCCTGAGCTCTGGAGGCCACTGTGCTCTGATGCCATGGCTACTGTGGCTCTGAGACCTTGGGCTTCTCGGGGGGATCTGTCTGTCGGTCTGTCTTCTCCTCCCCCCTGCCTTCCTGCAGTATTTTCTTCACTCTCTTTGTTCCTTAAGCACTCTCTTTTCTTCTGTGCCCTTTCCCCAATTCTTTATTTAGTCTCCTGTTAGTCAGGGTTCCGCTTTAAACAATAAACGGACTCTGGGGAGAATCAGAACTCTGAGCAGATGCTGGTCTATGTAGCAAGACCATTCTCTTCACACTCCAAACAAGAGCCAAGGAAAAGTAAAAGAGAAAGCCTTGCTGGTTTGGTTTTCCAGGAAATTGGCTGGATGGTGACCCTCCTCACCTCAAGAGTCTCTACGGGGCACAAGGCTAGCCCAGGCCTAGCTCAGCCAGCTGCCCTGGGTGGGAGGGGGCTCCGTTCAAGCTTGTCACGTAGAGATCTCTTCTGATGGTCTGGAAGGCAGAGGAAACTTAGGGCTCTTGAGGAGGATTAACCCCAAACCTAAAGAAAATAAAGAGTAGCAGAAGATAAATGGACAGAAGAAATACTGAGCTAAACAGAATTCAAGTTCAAATCAAGAGATACAAATATTTTAAACTCAGAGAAAACCAAATTTACAGGGTGGGAGCCATAGTGACACTCACCTTGACCCCAGGACTTGGGAGTTGGTAGCCAGAAGATCAGGAGTTCAGGGTTGTTCTTGGATCCAAACAGTACTCAAGGTTGCCCTGGATATATGGGAAATAAAGTGATTAGTCATCAGATTCAAGAGCAGTGGTGGCACACACCTTTAATCCCAGTACTCAGGAGTCAGAGGCAAACAGATCTCTGTGAGTTCAAGACCAAGCGTGGTCTACAGACCAGGTTCCAGGACAGGCTCCAAAGCTACAGAGAAACCCTCTCTCAAACACCAAAGGGACAGGGCAGGGAGGGGACGGAGAAAAAAAGCTGAATATTTCCAATGCAACTGTTAGAAAAGAAAACCTAATGTCACTAGGGATGAGCAGAGAGGATCCCTGACTTCTCTAGACAGGACTCAGACCTTAGCGCAACTGACTCCATGACTGAAGTGTCATTCAGGCCATAAAACTCAGCAGGTAGACAGCACCACCAGCCAAAATTAAGACAAAGGCCTAAGCCATCAATGGCCATAGCTCTGGACAGTCTTGAATGTCTTGAGAAATTCCAGGTCCCCTGGGTTCCCTTTGACCAACCCCTGTCTAAGTCTTTGGAGAAGTCTGACAAACACCACCCCCAAAAGGAAACAAACTAGCCTCCTCCCCAAAACATGCACAGTGGGAAAATGTAATCAAATGGCCATGACATTTAAAAAATTAAAAATCTTGAAATGCAGCAATAAAGCTTCTGACCCTTGGGAAGCAGGGGACACCTGGGGAACCAGACTCTATGCCACAGGGAAGGAAGGACCCAGGGGACAGAGGTAATAATAGTTCCCAGCCAGAAATCAGCCAGAATGGACGGCTGACTATGCTTGAACGCCCTCCAGCCCCCATACCTCACGGAGGCAGGAACTAACTGGACTGCCAAGCCCTTGACTGACAAAACCCATTGTGACCAGGGACAGTCCAGATTAATGTTGCCCACAGTAATGAGACCTTAATGCCAGTCAACCAGAGGAGGGGACACAAACAAATTACAGACACTAAAGCTAACCACAGTTGGTCAGACAGTTCTAACGCCTAGGAGAGTGATTGAATCTTGAGAACCCAGATACAGGCATCTAAAGTTGTTGAAGAGAGACACAGATGACTTACCCTACAGCAGCAGAATGCAAGCCTGTGCAGTGCAGCACCAGAGAGCGGCTTTCCTCTCCAGGACTTTCTTTCCTATGGAGCTGGAGACCTAGACCTCCTTCTTTTATACCCAAGAAGGTGGGTACTGTAACCACTGCATGCACACCCACTGTAGAATCACGCCCATCACTGGACACACCCTCCCTTAGCCCCGCCCAACTCCCTTTGAAGATAAACCATCCAATGTGAGAAAAGGCAAACAAGAACACACTAAAGAAAGACAGCAATATGAGCAATATTTTAATGCCAGCTGTTCTTAGAACCACTAAGAACATTTTAGAATTTCTCAAAGCCAATAAGAACACATGAGAGAGCTTCACCACAGTGAAACACAGAGACACACCACACAGGTCTGTGGTCTTGCTAGACAGGCTTTGTTTTGTGGTTATACCACCACTGTAGATCCGGACACAGACAAGAAAATGAGCAATGTCCTCAAATTTTGGCTAACTATACAATGATGATCATGTGTCCGGAAAATAACACAAAACAAGTAACAAAAATGCGTCTTTGCCAGGTGGTTGTGGCTCAAGCCTTTAGTCAAAGCCCTTGGGAGGCGGAGGCAGCAGATTTCTGACAGGCCATCCTGGTCTGCAGGGTGAGTACTGAAGGGCTATACAGCTAAACCTTGCCTGGAAAAACCAAGAAAAAAAATAAAGCCTTTTCATATGCATAAGACTTTCTCAAACTTCTATCAATATTGAGGTACAAAAAATGTTAAACGTCATAGAATCACTACTGACACAGTGTTGGCCACAGTGTAACAAACTGGAAGATAGCTAACATTAGTAAGGGCAAAGCAAGCAGGACTTGGTCAGACACACCTCTAATCCCAGCACTCAGAAGGCAGAGACCAGGCGAGGCAGGAGGATCTCTGTCAATTCCAGGACAGCTGGTCTACAAAGTAACTACCAGACAGGCAGGGCTGTTACACAGAAACACCTTCTCTCAAAACCAAAACCAAAACCAAATAAACAAACAGGAAGGGCACAAAATAAAACGACAAAGGAGCCTTGCATGGAAGGTTACTTGACTTCTTCTGTCCTAGGTCAGGGTTGGGTATTTGTACTTGTGGAACATTACTAGTGGTTTATAAGATCCAAGTCCAGCCTGAAACTATGGAAATGTTAAGGTGTTTCAGCCCCTGGGTGATGATTTAATTACATGTTCCTGCCCTAAGTATGGCTTTCACCTCTAAGCCTCTTTCCTAAGGAAAGGGTTTCCTCTCTGTGCTGGACCCTGTTGGTGTTAAGGTTCTGTTGTGACTGTTTCATTTTACTCCTTTGTGGTTTGTTTCTTTCATTTTACTTTGGTGTGAGTTCACCTAGTTCCTCGAGTTGAGTGACTAAACATTTCTTAGATGTCAGTGTTGACCATTAACTCAAAGAGGAGCCAAGAATGGCCTTGACCTCCTGATCTTCCAGCCACCTCCTCCCAAGTCCTTATTTCACCAAAATTCAATCCATCTAGTTCTTTCTTTCTTGGTTTTTTTTTTTTTTTTTTTTTTTTTTTTTTCAGGACAGGGATTGTCTGTACTGGATCTCACTCTGTAGAGCAGACTGACCTAGTACTCACAGAGATCTGCCTGCATCCTTCTCCTAAGTGCTGGGATTAAAGGCGTGTGTGTCAGCCCCACCCAGCTAAGATCCCATCATCTAAAGCATGCTTTCCCCCACCTGGACTCAAATGTCCCTTTCTTTTGGCCTGCATTTTGGTTGATTTGGCTTTATTAACATTGCCAGCCCAATCTTGTTTAGCTCACGTTCATCTCAGTATTCCCACTGGATTGAATCATTAAACAATGACTCAGTTTTCGTATATTTTCTTTAGGCTTTAAGCATGAACTTTTCTGAAGATATCCTGGCGTTGCAGCAAAGTCTGAATCATCTCATGCTCCCAGGAAACCACTGGCCAGGCTGGCTGGTCATGCTCAGACTCTAGGGCTCCCCAACTCCACAGGGATGAGGACTAACCAGACGGTCACCCCAAGACTGACCAATCTCCTGGTGACAGGGGACAGCCCAAATTAATGTTAGAGACTTTCAAGGGGCTGACATTTGTCTAAAACCCAACACTGCTAATCTTGGCCCTTCCCCTTATGAGCAGGTGTCTGCTATTTGCTTGGACTCTGTTTCAGTCCTCTGAGATACTTGGTGGGCAAAGACAAGGTGTGACTGAACCTGCCTCTTCTGATGCTTTCCAGACTAAGTAGCCAGGTTGAACCATTAGAGCTGGGTGTTGGTGGCACCTGCCTTTAATCCCTGCACTCCGGAGGCTGAGGCAGGCTGATCTCTGTGGGTTTGAAGCCAGTCTGGTCTACAGAGCGAGTTCCAGGACAGGCTCCTAAGCTACACAGAGAAACTGTCTTGAAAAACCAACCAACCAACCAACCAACCAACCAAACAAACAAACAAACAAACAGATTCCCTTGGGGAAATGGTCCTACAACAATTGCAGAGGCTTAGACTCCCTTCTTATGGGATAAGGGGACTGTGTGAGGCTTTGGGAGAAACCTGTTGTTTCAGTGCTAACCCATCAGGAATTGTTTGGAAAACAAAACCAAACCTCAAAAAGAAAACGAGACAAAGACATAAATCAGATGATTGGCAGCAGCGTCTGGCTCCTGGTCCATTGGCCCCAGAGATCCGACTCCCCGCCCCTAAATCAAACTGAAGACAAACAAACAACACAGTACAACAACAACAACAAATTTGAACATTTCATACAAGTGAAAGAGAAAATTTTTAAAACCTGAAATGGGCTGTGTTTGTGTGTGTGTGTGTGTGTGTGTGTGTATGTGTGGTGTACCTTTTCCTGGACAGTTAAGTTTTCTTTATTGAACGATTTTCAGAAGGGAAACTTGCTGAAGTATAAACCTAACAAACCTTTTCATTCCCAGCATGCTTTTGGTTGTGGCGTTTCACTGTACCACTAGAAACCCTTTTACACTCTGGTTCCAGGAATTCTCATTTTCAATTCCATCATCACCTCTACTAATTTTATTTACTTCATGGTGGCTCATTCCCAGTTTTGAACGTGGCAGCATTTACCTTATTAGGTTGGTTGGACAATCTATATCTCAGTCTTTGTAAAGGGTTAAGAGGTGGTACTGGGCTGGGCGGTGGGTACACACTTTTAACCCCAGCACTCCGGAGGCTGAGGCAGGCAGATCTCTGCGAGTTTGAGGCTAGCCTGGTCTACAGATAG